AGCATTCTGTGAAATGATTGTCATCTTGTCCCATTGTTCCTCAAAAGGCCTCAGCAAAGTTGATTAAAAGGGTAAAACCCTCTTATTTTAATTAAGTAGTTTTAAATGAAAGAAAAGGCACTTTAAAGTCAATGTTATTCATGATAATTACAGTAAAAAGAATAGACCTTTTAAGGAGGGAATTCACATTTGTGTGTGTGTGTGTGTGTGTGTGTGTGTGTGTGTGTGTGTGTGTGTGTGTGTGTCAGCGCACTTGAGTTAAACTGGACTATTAGACCAGAAAATTACTGTCAGGAATTACATATTTGGTTTTGTAGTTCTTGAGAATGAGCTGCGCCAGATCAGGTGGGAAAATACGTTTTGAAAGCCTGAACAGAGTCTCATACACATTTCCGTGCTCTTATACTGTCTGCACACTTGTTTTATCTGACATGGCTGCCGTGGTTCAGCTCCTTTGACAACAAAAACAAAAAGTGCCACTGAGGATACCAGACATGAATGTTTAAGAAGCACGGCTGTTCCCATGTTCTCTGGAATGACCCGCTGCCAAAAGATCCACCCATCCTTTTTCTCTCTCTGTCTTTCTGTCACACACACACACACACACACACACACACACACACACATGGCAGGGCATATGACTGTCAGCGATGACAGATGTCCTGACAGTCTGGAAGTCTGGAGGCGTGGTTGTGGTTGTTGTCCTGCAGGGCTTTGACACACGATGTATCAGCATACATTACACACACATGTCACACTAATACCGCTCTATCTGCTCCCTGCCTTTTGTTTGCAGCCATCACTACAAAAGACACACATTCATTTTTAATTTTTTTCCACTTTGACTGGCTTTTCAAAAATACAACCACCCTTTTCCGCGTGTTGTTGTATATTTGATCTCACCTGTTCAGTTCTTTGCTGTTGCTCAGGGTCAAGTGCAACAAGACACTCTTTATGTCATAACGCCTACATTCACTTTCATGCAATTCCATTTGATTTACCCAGTGCGACACAATATAGGCTTTCGTTGTACAGGAAAAAATGAGTGTGCAAGGTAACATGAATGAATACAAGGCTGGGAAACAGTAGAGTAGTCTGTGATGGGAAAATTACTCACATACACACTAAATTAGATTTTTACAAATTATAAATTGATTTTTTAGTGCACATCTTCATGATCATGCTCCTTGTGGGTCGACAAAACTCTGCATCTTTTCAATGTAGAGGAAATTGGGATGGCTGGTCAGTTTATGTTGAAGTTTGCTACGTTACTGTCTTAACTGGGAAGCAATGGAGGGTTTAGTCTGATTTATTCTGTATTAAAATCACTTATTTTGCCAATAATTTATGCAATTGGATTGTAGAAATTTAGATTGTAAGTATAATTACTTTAATGTCTTCATTTTCTGACCATTTTTTATTGTTTGAAGTAATACATGCAGCATTTGGTTCTGATGTGTTTGTGATGTATTTTAAGCTCATGTGGGTTTTATGCAAACCTGCATTTATTAATGCACCTTTTGTTACAAATTTGTTAACATCTTAGGATGTTAATTCCTCCTATATGTTCATCAGGATCCTATTTCTAACCCTATCCAGTCTAAACGGTGTCACGCTGTGTGCTGGAGTTATGCAGCTGCAGTTCTGGCTGGTGACCACTAGGTCGCACTAGAACACCACGGAAAAAAAAAGAGAGATGAAAGCCAAGAACGTGGAGACCCGAGCTCAGCATTGATTTGATAGTTTGGAATAGTTTCACCAAAATCTTTTATTGAGAGTAATGGGTAATGGGATGACTCAAATGAAATTCAGCAGAAAATATTTGTATGAAATGATAAAATAAAAAAAAATTTGAAATTTAAAATAGGCCTTTTTTCACAGCAGACAATTTGACACATCACAGCAGGAAGACCACAGGTGTAAATAATAAAATAAACGATGGCTGACTTAAATTTCAGGGTCCTGCTGTTGTGCATGCTGGCTCTGCAGGCTTATTTGAATCGAACAGAACCATCGTTAATGTAATTTGTAACACCTGTGCTTTTCCTTTTTCCAAGTCAAAATGCTTGCTGTGAAAAGGGCTGGCTAGTAGACATTTACAGACTTCCTCCAATACGACAGAGGGAAACACAATAGACAGGTTTTTAATCAGTGTGTCAAGGTCGGCAGACTGTTGAGTGTTTTAAGAGGAAGAGGAGATACAATGACTAAGTCTTAACTCTGCATTCAACAACAAAATAGCAGCGTTGCGTCTTTAAAGCCTGAGACAAGACTTGTATTCACACCAATGCCTCAACCAAACTCCATCAGCATTAAATATAACTGTGGCTTCCACATCCAATTCCTTCTCAGGATCCAACAGATGGAAGCAGCAGAGGTTGCTAATCACTAAAGGGAGAATAGGGTGTTCCTGTTTCAGCTGTAGTAGTAGTAGTAGTAGCTCATGTGGATGTGTGGGTTGACGGGGAGTGATGGGGACAGTCGGGACGGCAGCTGAGCAGAAGAAGGCCTTGAATGTTCCTGGGACTGAACGGGGATCAGGACAGAGGAGGAAGAGGTTTTAGCAGAGATGCAGGGGAGAAGGAGGGTTACAGCTTCAGAGGAGAGAGACTGGAGAGACGGGGCTTAGAAGTTGGCAGAGTTTGGTATTCGTGACCGTGGGGCTCAGTCAGCAGGAGCTATAGTCCCTCTGAGACCTCAGACTGTTCAATTCACTTCTACACAAATGGCAGAATTCGTTGCGTGCATATCTGGGTTGAAGATGTGCATTTTCTAGCTTTAGTGTGTTCTGGATGTTGAAACGTACTTCCACGTGAAGAGAACATCAGCACTGCACTATACTGATGCAAACATTTAATTAGACCCATCACAAATATTGCACACTGAAGGCTGAATAGGAGAACGTTGCACTGTTAACGCAGTGATAACAGAGCGCCGCATTGTAATCCAATCAATAGCCCATGTGTGAATAATGCATCGACCGCCCCGTCACATTATGCGCGGCTGATGTCAAACTTCTGATTCATTCTTGTCCTTTTGTCAATTTACAGAAACTCAAGCGCAGGCGATGCATCGATTTCATTTTCCAGCTCGTTTTGATCAAGCTGCTTATTATTTTGATGCCGGAGTCAACGGAGACGTCTTTCACAGGGATTACTTGTTTATCATCCAGTAATGACAAACAAAAGTGTGATTAAGTTACTTTCTCTGAGTGGTATGTTTGCATATGTGCAGCCATGTGTGTGTGTGTGTGTGTGTGTGTGTGTGGGTGGGTGTACACATGTATGTATGTTCACGCTTATTTGTTGTTGCTGGTTCCCTCCAGTGAGATGCAGCAACCATCAAAGAGCCAATTTAGAGAGCTGCTTTGCTTCACACACATCACTCTGTTACATCGTCACTCACAGCGATACATGAGTTTGATTATATATGAGGCTGAATCTTCCACATCAGCCACCGATTGAAGTTCTCCTCTCAGCAGCCGAGACTAAAGTGTGATTAAAGCGTGTCGTTTTTATAAACAAACGCAAAATAGGATCTGCCTACGTGTATATCATTCTGTAGCTTAGCAACTGCCAGACAAAAAGCCCAGAACTGAACTCAACATTTCCTTTCGTATAGCCCCAAAAAAGTTCACATCGTATTGGACTTCCTGTCGTTACAGACTGTAGACATTTTGGTCAACCTCCTGGCTCCATTTTCTTCAATGTGGCTTCATGAAGTGTTTCCAGACACTGTTGATCACAGTGTTGATCCCTTGTTACATTGGTTGGAAGCATTGTTCAGAGTGTATTAAAAGATGCACTGCAGGTAGTTGTACTCTTGTGCAATAATGCATTGCTGTAGAAACAAAAAACGAAACCCCTGTTATTTACCATTTTGCCATCATGCATTCTTTTTGCCATTTTGAAATGCATTATCAATGGTGCAGCTTTGTCCCAGCGTCGTAAAACATTGACTGCGTGTGTGTGTGTGTGTGTGTGTGTGTGTGAGATAACACCATCTGTCAAAAACCAGCATAGACAATAACAGCATAGAGTAGGAATGCACTGGCATTCTGCACCCATGTCACCTCCTCTCTTTATACCCCCGTCTCTACAGCTATTACTTCTCCACCTGGGGCTCCGACTTGCATTGATTCAGGCTGACAAACCGGCGCAGACGTCACTGTAAATGCATCCTGTCTGATTATGTATTGTGGTGTTATGCAGTGAACGTGACCTCCTTTTAAATGACTAGAATAATAAAGAGTAAACAGAACCCACAGAGCCCGGATGGAGACGCCAGCAGGCAGCTGCTGCTCTCTCTGTTTTATCATTACATTTTTTTTTTTTTCACAAGCAGAAAGCCTGACAGAAGTCACTCAAACTGGAAGAAAACACCCAGATGCCGGCGAACACAAAGGAGGCTTTTGAACTATTCTGCAGGTACAGCCTTTTTTCACAACATTAGAGAGGAACTCTGACTTTTTTATAATTTGAAGACTGTGAACTCATATGGATGATTCACACTCGCTAGCTTTGATCTGTACTGCCTCTTTTGAGTCTCTGCTTGCTCTTTTTGCCATCTTCTGTATGTTTACACATGGTTTGTGTGTGTGTGTGTGTGTGTGTCGTGTGTGTGTGTGTAGCACATCATAAAACCAGAGTAAATAGTAGAACACGTAGCAACTGTCTTTATTGAACACCAGCATTGTTAGAAGGTAGGGATTTAACATATATATAGTTGAAAGCCTACAAGAAAAGTAATTTAAATATTTATATATATCTTTACAAATGTTCATGGGCGACTCAGAGAACTTGTGTCGGCTAAACTTGCGATCTGGGGAGTGTACAAAGATAGACATGCACAGGGATGAGTTAACGACGGCAACCGCAAAGTCACCTTTACAAAATGGCTGAGGTGGACCCCTTTCTCTCTCTCTCTCTCTCTCTCTCTCTCTCTCTCTCTCTCTCTCTCT